AGAGCGTTAAGACGGCCCACTTTGGTGACCAGGTACCCCAAGGACATCACCGGCAGCGGTTCAAACGAGACCGAGCGAAGAGAACGAAATAGGCGAGAACGAGGATTCACTGTCAAGGGTTTATGGCTCTCCATATAAGGTACGATGGTTCGACGGATCGGCCAGGGAGGGGGCGTGGCGTATTTTCGTCTACGGTGTTGGGATAGAAGAGATCTGAGGTATTATTTGAGAGTAAGTTAGTTATGTATATTGTTCTCTTTACGTTTTAGTTTTTTATTGAATGCATTGATTTGTTATTATTTATTTATTTTATTTTACACTATTATTATTATTATTCACAATGTATTATTAATGCTTACTTATAAGCCAGCACACCACACACCACATACAAACGATCACACGCACCAATACTCACATTAGATTTACCCAGACAACTGACAAATACACTAACACCTTACGCACTACACAATTCACACACTAAACACTAAAGACTATCTACACCATTCTAATAATTATAATTATTATAATGACACTACACACACACATAATACTAACTAACCACACATTCACATCAACACACTCACGCACACTCCTACACACACCAGCGACGATCCCACACTCAAACACCACACACGCCACACAACACCACGACCTACAACACAACACTACATACAGGACCAAACATACGCAATCACACATCAGCAAACATCACACACCACACTCACATAAGTAATTCACCCACACACCATACACACACACACTACAACACACTGGATCAAGCATCACACACACACCACAACCCAACACATACAACACATCAGAAAAAATTCACACACATACACAAAAATGACAACCACCACGACAAATCAACTTACCGTTATGTCTTCAACACAGCACACACACAAACAACAGATACAAACACCTCCAAACAGAGTACACTCAATAATTTATTTTCCACACTCTCACTCTCACTCAATAAACACACATACAATATATTGATTATATATATATATATGATATACTACATAATTACACATATATATTGATATTAATATATGTATATCACACAACACATCTACACACACACCACAACAACACAACTACACAATCTACACACACATCCAGTTGCAGACAATAACACACAAATGACACATAAACACATCATAACGACACTACACACAAACACAAAGCCAAACACATTACCAACAAAACCAGCACGCATGACACAAACACACAACCACAATAACACAAAACACAACAGCAGTTAACCACTTCTCCAGCTCTTCTTTCCCCCTCCCCTCTTGCCACTCGAACTCCGCCTCCTCTCGCCCCCCCACTACAGGCCTCCCACACTACACTCAAACACCCTCTCGTCCCACATCCGTCATAAGAAAAAGGAAAGAAAATGCTAAAAATGGAAGAATAAAGATGATCTATGCTGGTAATATCTCACTCAATGACAACACAGTGACCTCCATCCTCGGGCTCTCCCTCGTCGTCTTTTCCTCCATCATCGGGTAAGTACGCTCCCCCTCTCCCCTCCCGTCTCCCCACACAGTGCCCTGAATAATAAAAATCCTTCCTTTCCCTGCCCCTCCCACCACTACACCACCACTTCTCCTAACTCACTTCTTCACCTCACAAACACACATTCCTTAAAACATAATTATAGTATATATATATATACTATTTATATTCCTATAATAACTCCTATAATATTATACCTTATACTGTATCGAAAAGAAAACCAAAAATATAATATATATATATATATATATATATAAATAGAATACAACGAAATATATATCTATACCGAAAGAAAAAGTTCCCCATGTTTTTCGTCTGTCGCGATTGGTGCACCTACCTCCCCACTTACTAACCCAACCACACTCCCACAACTCCTCACACACACACACACCACTTCTCTTCCCCATTTCCTCGATATATATATAATATACCCTCAGACTTATATACCTATATACTGTTAATTATCCATCATATATACTATGCTATTCTATTATGTTATCTATGTATGTATCTATCTATCTATCTACTACCTCATCTATCTAGCTATCTATTCTAGTCTATCTATCCTATCTACCTCTATCTATCCTCCTATCCCTATATCTATCATCTATTCTATATAATATCATAATGTAAGGTTGTTATGTTATTGGTATATATAGTATATATAGCTATATATATGTATTATACACACCAAACACTTCCGGCCGTGGTTCCCTGCACACACCCCAGACCACACCCGCTCTCAGTCGTCACTGACACCTGCCACACCACCCCACATCATCGAAGTACCCACACTCACCCCACCTCACCACACCTTGAAAAATCCTTCCTTTTAACAAAAAAGGGTAAATTATTCTATAGGTAGATATAATATAAAGAAATAAATAATAACATCAATATAACAAAACGAAACCGACAGTAAGTTCACATAACTTCTCCTCTCACGTAGGATGACTGGCCTGTCGCTCTCTTA